GACGATCCCGGTCTCGACGACGATCGCTTCCTTCAGGAGTGCAGGTATCATTTTCCGTCTTCTGATTCTCCTAATTATGCACTTGGTTCCCAAGAATCTGAAGGAAACCAAATTAAAAAACCCAGCTGTTTTCACTCATGCAGTTTATTGGCTCAGTTAAATTGAGTTTCTTTTTGAGTTTCTTAAACTTGATGGGGCAAAGGGTTGAAGTTTTAATGTATTGTTACTCAAACAGCTTACCAAGTTTTCATTTCAGATCCATTAGTTTTGTTCATGTGATGTTGTTCAGCTTCTTGTATACTTTCTGCTTGGATTGTCACAGTGACACTGAACCCTAGTAGCATACTCTGTACAAGCAAGGCATTGCATCTTTCAAATTAAGTCCTAAGTTGTACATGTTTATAGTCTTTGTTTTTTTTAGGTAGGGAAAAAAATGATCTAGTTCAAGATTTTTTTTTCCTCCAATTTTCCATTTTTCTTTCCTTTTGCTTTATAAATTCAAGATTCGAACATGGCACAAAAATAAGAAGATAGCATGTTAGAGAGAGAAAACCTTCTTGGCAATACTTTTTTCTCAATTCATGTCAATTTTTATTTTCAGAAAAATCACCATTTTAAGGTATAGATATTTCATAATCTTCTAATAATTTGAGGGCAATGAAAAGTTCTCCCCTTCAAATTATTTAAAATTTGATCATACTATGTCAAAAGTTGAAAGCAATGTAAACTAACTTAGGACATAGCTGTCTACATTCATGGCATCATGGCAACTCGGCTCAATTTGACTCGCTATAAAGGCAGAAGATTAAAAACCAAGCAAAATCTAGATAACATGAGAAAAATTCCAAGGCCAGGCTAGACTGACTTCCACGGCAATGTAACCCTTCTGAGTTAAAGGACAGATAAGCAAGCTTCAGCTCTCAAATCTATACTCTTCATGCATTTATTTCTAATGTATCCTCTTACTTCTTTTTCCCTTTTCTAGTGTCTGCACCACCCTGTTTTTGTAGCTCAGCCTTCTTCTGAGCTCGAATCATGGCTCGTCTGGCATGTGGACGCATTTCCCGTACTTCTCGAGGAGGCATCACATATGGTTCAATAGGCCTGTCACCGAATGGGTGCTCATTGCCAGCAAATATTCTCAACTTTCGATCTCTATTTTGCATAATGATATAAGAACTTCCAATTAGGTCTGTTTCAGTAGCCGCCTCCCCTTGACATTTAACAAATCTTAATTTGCAGTAACCAATTGCAAAGTACCTTCACTATGCTTCACTACATATCCAGCATCCTCCCAAGATCACTAAAGTTTTAGTGTAGTCTACTATAGTGTGAACATTTTTTCTATACTGAGTTGGAAATGCATGAGATCATAATTCCTCTTATAACGTTTTTAGAAGTGAATAAAACAACAATAAATAAACAGACAAAATATGTTCTTTTTTGGCATCAAACCAATCATCACATCAAAGTGCCGCTAGTTATATACTAATTCAAATGTGTCACACATTTCAGGTTTGCCATACAGAATATTAATAGTAAATCACAAATTATCATTTTCCTTTTTCTTTTATTTTGGGGTTTTTAATTGCCTTTCATTATAAATTATGAACACATGATGTTATTCTATATAGAGATGGCAATCTGAAACCAGCCCGACGGTGACCCGACCTACCGACTTCGAATTCAGTGGTTATTCACCGAAAAATATCCCCTACGGGCTGGGGATGGTATTCAAAAATTCAAACCCGATGGTATCCAGGCCGGGGACGGGGATAGGTGTTTCAGACCAGGCCCGGCCCCACCCCGCTCAATCCCCGAGGTGAAATTACAGTTCTGTCCCTGGACATAAATATTTGTTTAAGGTTTCACACACAGACAAACACACACAGCCTCTGCCTCACTCACACGGCGCTCCTCTCTCTCTCTCTCTCGCTCGCCATCGCCACCGCCACCGCCACCCCCACTGGTCTCTCCCTCTCTCTTTCATCGGTCACCGCCGCGCCTCCCTCCTCACCGGCGATCCTCCGTCACCACCGAGCCTCTCACTCACACACGGCGCTCCTCTCTCTCTCTCGCTCGCCACTGGTCTCTCGCTCTCTCTTTCATCTGTCACCGCCGCGCCTCCCACCTCACCACCGGCGATCCTCCGATCCTCCCTCACCGACGGTCCGACGCTCCTCCGTCGCTGGTATCTCTCTCTCTTTCTAGGGATTTGGATCTAGGGTTTACATCTATGTATATTATATATATATATATATAGAGATCTGTTTATATAAATATATCTGATTATATATATATATATATATATATCTGAATATGAGTATATAGATCTGTTTTTTTTTCTAAATTTATTTATTCTGTGTAGATGATGATGTTCATTGTTCATTAGATGGTTGGATGTTCATTGTTCATTGTTCAGTAGATGATGATGTTCTGTCCCCAACACTTTGTGCCCCAGTTCTCTCTATCCCACATCATTCAATTGAGTGGCATCTCTATGGTATCATAGCAAAAAAATTAAACAATTGTATTAATGAAATGAATTAAAAAATAGGAATAGATGGTTGGATTGATCTATATTAGAATTGCTGAGGACAGAATTGATCTATATTAAAATCGGGGATTTTTCGGGGTCGGGGATCCCCGATCCCCGATCGGGGGCGGGGATGGGACCGGGCTATGAGTCCCCGTCGGGGATCGGGGCCGGGGCCGGGGAAAATTCAGGCATCGGGGATCGGGGACGGGGAGTGCGATCCCCGGCCCCGCCCCGCCCCGTTGCCATTCCTAATACAAATTCCAAAAGAAGAACCATTAAAATTATTTCCTTGTTTGTAGACTTGAAGAAAAATTACATCTTTGAAGCAATTAATCAAGTATATACATTCTATATGTGAATTGATGTGACCACTACAATTACACTTATATGTGACATTGTCTCCGGAGGAACTCCACACCCAGTCGCTAAATCTCTTATGCTCCTTCTTTCAAAAAATCAATCATTGGGCACCGTGAGCCACCATGGCCTGTATTTGTCGTCGACTGCTCTCGATGAACTTGCCTTGGACGGACATCATCTCCACATCTCTCTCACCACCGTCTTACCGTCACTGGCCATCGTCTCCACTTCTTTCCC